ATATATATATATATATATACACATATACATACAAAAAAATTTTCACTTTTCACATTTACGTCCTAAGGAAAAAGTTACATGATTGACTCTCGAAACAGAATGCTCAAGTACAAATCTCTTCAAGATTCTTCATGTCTCCAGAGTTGAAGTGTCATTAGCATCCCATTGACCCATTCTAACTTAGCCCATATGTCAAGAATCTTCAAATTTTGTACATCCAATGATGAAACTCGCCAAAGCGATCAAGGTATGCTTACCATCTCCATCCTCCGTCAGACTGAAATTGTCGTTCGACGCTGACACTTCCTGAATAGAGCTGTTGGACAAGGCCGGCGATACCACTGCCTGTAAGAAATAACAACAGAAGAAGAAGTCAATTGCAGATCGTCATTTTCGTAGAATCACGTTCAATCACATTCGAACAAGAAGGGAGAGTTTAACCTGCGCCAGTTGTTGCACACTCGCCTGCAACCTCGCAGGCGACTGCTTCATCTCCTCCGCGAGCTTGTCCTTGAATTTCTTGAACATCCTGGCGTGTGGCTGTCGGAAGCAGCGGTCGATGACGATAAGCGAGCGCGATAAGCGCCGTGCGAAATCGGAGTCCTTCCGTCAGTCACGCGTGGAGTACAATAGCGCGCTGTTTACGTGGATTCGGGCCGTCAGGAACGATGACGCGAACACGGGGAATCCGGACGGGACTGTACGGCGCTGGGGACATGGTACCGGAAACGCCGCTCCTCTTTCCGCCGTCCGGATTTTCGTGAGCGAGAACACCTTCGATAAGAACACCGCGGAAAAATCGCACGAACGTTAAGCTACATTATTTGATTATCCCACACATACATGTATATATGTGTATGCATGCGTGTGCGTTGACCGCCATTACTATATATATATATATATATATATATAATATGTAGGCGCCTGATGACGTCATCGAGCAGAAACACTGTTTTCAACTGTTGAATCTTTCTATTGCATGACGTAATCGCTTTACAATTGCGACAATAAAGTGATAAACTTTAAGAATTGTGATTAAATATATATAATCATCATTATACATATTATATACATATTATATATATTAATATTATTTAATTTAAAAAATTAAAATGAAATTTAAGTTATGTTTAATCAAATTGAGTTTTCATAATTTAGGCTACACAGAAAGATATTCTATTGCTAAGAAAAATAATTACTCAATTTACTTTTTTCCTTTTAAATAATAGTTATTTTTAACAAAAAATATTCTCTTGATAAGAATCTTAAAATATATTTATTATAAATTTTAGAAAACTCATTGTTACATTCAGTACAAGAATTATAATACAAGAATTTTTTTTTTTAAAGAATATATAAAATTAATTGAAGAAATGACTTAATAAAAAAAAATCGAATATTTTAATTTAAGGCAAAATAATTCTAAATTTAAAATTTGCTCGAGTCTAAAAGTCCAATTGGGTTAAATTAATTGGCAATTTAACTCAAGTAATATATTATTAACTTTTCGTTATTTCACCTATGAAAAGAAAGTTTAGAGCAACAATAAGTCATATAATAATCTTTTCATAAGCAATATTTAATTCTGGCGATTGATTTAATTTAGTTTAAGTTAAATGCGTAATGATGTTCAAGCAATCAACAGCAGCATTAAAAAATATTTCAATACCTTTACAAATAATAGAAATAAAACTAAAATGTATCTAATATAAATAAATTGATAAATGGATTTTAAAATATTCCAGTCGACACCAACTAAAAATAACATAATATTTAGTATATTATGTTAAAATTTTGCACTCAACAATAAATGTAACATATAGTGTCATATAATAGTTACATTATTCAATACTAAATTATAACATATGTTATTTTTAGTTGATCAATCAGCAGGAATGTTAATATATAATGAATCAATTTCGAAGGAATAAAAAGAAAACAAATTTTTTTAAATTTCCATGATGGCTGGACGTTTATTTAGACAACTTCAGCTGCCCTCGCGCCTCCTTTATGAGTCTTAGACAAATACTCGGCAAATTCCTGGTATGGCGCCTTTGCAAGAGCTTGTTCCTTCCACAAGTCGGGCGTCAAATAAGCATAGGTTTTGGCGATTGCAGCGTACGTAGCCTTAGCAAAGTTGCCGAGTGTACAGGTGGAACCTCTGGCCGAAGTATAGCAGTCTTCGATACCAGCCATCTGAAGCAGCTTCTTGGGAACTGGAGCAGATACGATGCCGGTACCCCTAGGCGCTGGTATCAGGCGCACTTGTACAGAACCGCATTTCCCAGTCACCTTGCATGGCACCGTGTGTGGCTTACCGATCTTGTTGCCCCAGTAACCACGTCGAACCGGTACAACGGAGAGTTTTGCCAAAACGATAGCACCTCGAATGGCAGTGGCTACCTCCTTGGAGCATTTTACTCCCAGTCCGATATGTCCATTGCTGTCCCCAATGGCGACAAAAGCCTGCAAAAGATGTCTCACTTTTATTATTTTTATTACAATGTCTTCTTTAGCGTCACTTGATTATTGTTAGTAAAGTCTAATCTACAACATGTTCTTTGCTTCTTGCTTTGTATCTTTTTGTATGATCGTTTTATCGACAATTTTATTTCTCGTCTTTCTCAAAGTTAACTTTTCTCTCGAGTGACAAAAAGCAAAAAAAAAGAATAAGAGATAAAAATAATTGAAAGCAAAAAACAAGAAGCAAAAAGTACATTGTCAGACTTGAACCTTTATATTTCTTTTCCTAATCAATTTCTTAATTGATTATAATATCTGAAAAGATTTCTGGTTCACCTTAAAACGTGTGCGTTGACCTGCTCTCGTCTGTTTTTGTACCGGCATGATCTTTAAGACCTCATCCTTTAAATCTGGCCCAAGGAATTTGTCAATGATTTCAAACTCCTTGATAGGTAAAGAGAACAGATAAATATGCTCTAAAGATTGGATCTTGCCATCTCTGACCAAGCGACCCAACTTGGTAACAGGGACCCATTCTTTGCTGTCTTCCTTTCCGCGTCCACGGCCACGTCCTCTGCCTCTACCACGACCTCGACCTCTCAGACCTCCACGGTCACCTCCACGAGAACCAAAACCTCCACGAAAACCACCACGGGCGGCTGGAGCAGTGTCCGCCATCTGTTAAGCAAAATATAATATATTAATTATCAAATAATTTTTATTCAGAAACAATTCTACAACATTTGTTGAAAATATTGTTGATAAGCTGTTACACAAAAAAAATTATGTTTAACTATAAACTATGAATTGAATTGAAATTAGAATATATAATTCATAACTATTAAAAATTAATAAAGTATACACAAAACTTTAATGCTTATAGTGGCTAACCTAATAAGCCAACATGTGGCATTTGATATATTTGGAATCGCAACAAAAATCCTTCGTGTGAGAACATTTTTGTAATGTCTCCTACGTAACTGAACGAAAAACGTATAATAAAATTATTTTATTATTGTAACAGATAATTAAAAATCACCAAGAATATAAATATACTCACGTTGGTTCCTTTCTGCGCGTAGAATCACAGAAGAATGAGGGAAACATCAATCAGTCCCGTATCGTGAAATTTTCTCTCCACGCGTACACATTATATTTGTAATATGTAAAATAATGTGCAAATTTTGTTGAAATTTAATATCAAACTCGATTTTTAATGTTTTTATATGTACTTAAATATATATTTTCTATATGTGCTGATTTATTACTTAAGTACTTATTATATTTGTTGCAAAGATAAAG